TCAAATTCAGTTTCTACTGACACAAATATCAGCCCATATTAAAACTTAAAAAATGCATCATATTTTATAAACTAATCAACTAACTGATCAGCTACAGAGGTCAAATCTATGTAGTAGAGGAAAAAAAGTATAATATTTCCCACTGAAATGTAGAGGACTGGAAGTTTAAAGCAGTATAAAAAAGATTTTAAAATGTGTACTTCAGTAGAGTACTCTGTAATTAGTTACTTTCCATCACTGCCACTAATTAAGTTTACAGCAGACAGTCACCTGTTGTCTAAATGTTATTTACCATCTAATTCTCAGCCTGAGGCTTTTGTCTCTGTACACAACTGCAGAAAATATCGAGCCATTTCCTGCGAGAAGATCAAATAATGAAGATGTGTCTCCGAGATATCTCATGGCCTTTCAGGTGATTCACTGTGCCTGTGTTTTTGCAGAAAGTCAGGGACTGTATAGGACTGTTTGTGCAAGTGATGCAAGCAGACACACACAAACATACTGTATGTGCATGCACAAACGTACACCTGGAGAAACAATGGGACTGTCAACCTCACACAGACACCGACTCTGTACCTTTTCATGGTATACAAGCTCTGCAGAGTGAGAGATGAACAAATCTCTCTTTATTGTAGCGTAAACAGTGCAGAGAGACAAACCCTTTCTCTCCATCTCGCTCTCATCTGGCTCTAATTTCAGTTGGTGTTGAGTTTGCCTCATGAAATGAGAGGAGAATTTTAACTAGCTCTCAGTAGTGAATAAAATACCACTCTTTCTTAGTGCTTCAAGCCTCATTTAAAGCATATTTTAAAAACAAAAAGCACAAACTACATTAAGCATAAAGCCAATGTAAGCAGTGATTGTTTGAGCTATTTGTGTTCCCTGTTTTACAGAAAGTCTAAAAGTGGTGTGTACTAGCTTCCTTTCATTTCAGAATATTTGTAAAGTTACAGTAGGCCTGTAGGTCTATGTAATTACAAGTCTTCTGCAGGCCTTTGGTCGATGCAGCTTGATTTTTTTCCAGGCAGTAACAAGAACTCGTGATGTGAGATCACTACGAGGACAATCACCATTATAAAATGTAAAATAAAAACAATAGATATATATTAAATTCATGCACACAGGAAATTATGGTCTCACACAAGTTATGCAGTCATTTAGTGTCTGTGTTGTTAAGAGGAATGGCAGAAAATTAGAAACAGCTGTGTTAACATACAAATAAATGCCACTTAAGTAAATAGCAAGCTGACCTAATCTTACCTCAGGCCAGCAGAAGCCTTAGAGATGCAGGAGCTGCATGCTGAGTGTGATATACAAGCTGTTGAGGGGCTAAGAAAGTAGGCTATGCATTATTCTTTCACTAACAACAAATAAAAACATTCTATCCCAAAGACTATTCGCTCTTATCCCCACACAGCCTATAGCCCAACTAAACTATTTCATATTGCTAGAAAACTGGTTAACAGGCAAGCAGAGAAGAAGACAAAATAGTTCATTAGAAATAATTAGGCAAAAGGTTAATCAACAGTTGAAATAATGCTTGTTAGCTAAACTTAAAAAGTTTGAAAAATTGATAAACATTCGACACAGTTAGTTAGCTAGATAATGGTTTAGGAGTTGAAATAATTAGTTATAAGTAATAAACAGTTGAAGTAATGTTTATTAGCTAAAACTCAACTGTTTAATTAATGAATGTAAAGTAATAGCAGTTACAACTGAGCATTAAAAGTTGAAACAGATAGCTAAAACTAGCTAATGAATAAACAGTTGACATAGTTAATGGTTTAACAGTTGAAATACTTAGTAAAAGTGATGAATAAATGGTTGAACCTTGGAAAAACCTTTATGTAGTGTTATTTAACATCACTTTGGAACATGATGGGTGGTAAATAAGGCGTACTTGAGCCTTTTCCTTGTACAAAAACATCAACATACTTAACCATTTTATACAAATGACAGAAAATTATAAAATATCTGCACTGATGCACAAAACATATTTTATGAGGGGGAGGAGAGGCAGCCAGCCCAATCTTTATGATTAAGTAGGCATACTAGCCAAAGCTAATTATTTGCTGCGAATATTGGATCAGAGATGAGTTTTCTCTGTCTGTATTATGTATTTGTTTTAATTCAAACAATCATATATACTTTTCTTCTTCTCTCTTTGGCCATTGTTCTATTTAAAATCAAGAAGGCCTTGCGACCCTCCGTGAAGCTTTGGCGACTCCTAGTGGGGGCCCCGATCCCCAAGTTGGAAACTACTGCTTTATATGACCGACATAAACAAATAAGACACTCGAGAGAGAGTGACACGCGAGAAGTTCGGCTATTTCTCTGTAGTTATTCTTAATGCCTGCCACTGGGTCAGATTCAGCCGGCCGAATCAACACAAAATTAAAGTTTCTTGTTCCTGAGTATTTTATGTTAGTTTATAGAACTATTTTAAAATATTTTGTTTTAAAAAGGCAGCAATGTTAAAGTTCTGTTTCTTACTATATTGCACTTTGCACAATAAAAATTATTTACAGTCTGCAACTCCTGGTTTCTGATTCCTTCATATATTGTATCATTTTGTGGGTCCTAGAAAACCCTTTAGTATTAAAAGCCTTCAGTATATAAAGTGATTTACAGTGAAACCTGAACCTTAAAAAATACTGTAATACTAATTTCTGGTCATAATTTGGACACAGCTACAGGGAGAGAGAGGTCAGAGGTCAGAAACAGTTAAACGTAAGAGACGTGAACTAGATTAAACCAGAAAGTCCTGCCTGATGCCAAAGAAAGCAGAGAGACAGTCCGGTGGCACAGTGTGCAACCTCTGGATGATACCTCTCTTTTTGCCTCACTAAAGTATGGCAGGATGCAAACACTCAAGACAACACACTTGTTACATGTGCACACGTAAACGTTATTTGAAGAGAGAGAGAGAGAGAGAGAGAGAGAGACTGACTTCGCTGTGAGTTTGCCTCCAAACATTTGTTAATGACTGACCAGAGGAAGGAATTTTTTTCAACTCTAACAAGATCGCTCTGGTTTGGTGAAAGATAACGGCTATGTGTGTTGACAACGTGTCAGCATAAAGAGGATAAATGTCTGCTGGGGAATATATTTGGTTCTTAAATAGATTTTCAAAATAAATGCAAAATAATATAATCTAGATAAAACTGTCACTTATTGATTTCTTCTCTTTCTGTGTTTTACATGAGGCTGGCACAGTGCAACAGGGGGCTTAAACGACAGGGTAAAGTCTCTTGAGGTGAAATATGTGCATAAGTTATCATGCACAAGGAGGTCTGGCTGTCAGGAAAAACAATGCAATCATGATCAACAAGGTCAGGAAATATTTCTTACAACTACTGCGAACGGCTCAGCAGTGAGAAAACTAACTTACTTTTGTCCTTATTTTCATTTATCACTTGAAGAAATCACTCTCTAAGTATATCTATGATTCTCTTTTAATTAATGTAAAGTTCACTGAAGTTTGAAGGAAACCACCAATTTTCCAAGCAAATTAGTACATTTTTATCACCAGCTATTTCATTTGACCTATTTTATCATCACAACATATATTTTTATAGTCTTTTTCAATGTCTATCTTAGATTTGACTTATTTATTGATTTTCAAAACATTTTATATGAATAACCATCATAACGGACAAAACCCAGGGACAATTGTTGAAAAGAGAAACTAGACTGCAGTGATAGCACAAAGGATAACTCTGCTCCTTTTTCTTAAATCGCCGTCATCAACAAAAGGTACCTTCACACAGCTCCAAACCATGAATTTAAATAGATAAAGTTTCAATCCCAGGTGGATCTCTGTCAGGCCATTAGCCTTACATTTCAAGAGCGTACTATTGAGACACCCCATAAAATAAGTAAGGATACAAATATACATGAGTGAGGGTCCACTTTCTCTGTGCATCACGACTGAGTCTGAAGAAGATGAACCTTTTCAGATAGATAAAGAGGATCAGAACAAAGATAGCAGCATTTTTGTGATATGTCACTCTCGTATGATATCAACAGGTCAGTGTGAAGAGGTTGATTTATGAAACCTACTGAGGGCACACTCTCGATAAAAGTTCAAATCCTCCTGAACCTAGAGCAAGCTCAGTCGATGGCCATCCAGTATGTCAGAGGTCATGAAACTCCCCTTGATTTTAATAATCATAATAATAATGAACTTCATTTGTACAGCACTGCAGATAACAGCAGATAAAGATGAGACAAATCTAAACACAAGGATCATAAAACGTCAAAAAATAATGTTACATTAAATGTTAAATACAGTAGAATGATAACAGCGTCTCCTCCTTCCGTCTGATTGGCTACACTGAAATGTGTGTGACCCCCATTGCGCTTTCAATTTAAAAGCTGGGGTCAGGGTTTTGGGGTCACAGAGTCAGTCAGACTAAAACTTGACAGAACAGGATGAGATAAATGAACACTGGCCGCCGCAGAGGCTGTTAACACCTGTTTGTCTTTCCCCCAGGTTCAAGGACGCAGCTCGTCTCATCGCTCTGAGCTCTGAGCCAGTTTCATCTGGACGGCAGTCAGAATAAGTTGGATCCTGCCAGTCATGAACTTTTATTACATGGTTGAGATTGTGAAGTGATTAGTGAGTACAACTTGTTATATAAGCAATAACATAGCAACAAACAGTAGATAAGCAACAGTCTGTCACCAGAGTTAGTTTACTGTACGTTTATAGATGCTTCTTTTTATCAGTGTTGCTGTTCAATGGTTTTAAAAACTTGTGCAGCCTTAGCTGGTCCTGTGTTCAGGTTTATTTCTTACTGTGTTATTTTTTTTTCTTCTTGCTTGTGTTTATTTGAATCTTTGGCCAGAAAACTAATTTTACAGTTTCATCGGGCTGAATTTTGGCATTATAGAAATATTTAAACCAATTTTCTTTACACAAAGTTTTTAAAAGTCCACTCAAAACAAAGCAAGGGAAGTCTATCTCCACCATCAAACAACCGCTTGAAACAGATCCTGATGCAGATCTCGCCTCTCAAATTAATTCGGCCTGTCCTACTTTTACTACTACCCACTTTGCTCTCTGATTGGCTTCACTCACACAATAAGTTTTCGACATGTTAACCAATGCCTGCGAGCGAGACCGCCACACAGGAGGTGGGGTGCAAATCTTCAGCTGTGATTGGCTGTTGGTCCCGCACACTCCCCACTAGAGCAGCACTGATCCAAGGAGATACTGTTCTGTATGTGTGTACATGTTTGCATGTGTGTGCGTGTGTGAGTGTGTGTGTGTGTGCAATGAGCATACCAGCTGCCAAACAGTCTAACCAGACCAAACCGAGACCTCATTTGAACTTCACAGTTGAGAGTTTTGTGCATTGTTATGTTTGCAGCACATTGACTCATCTTAGAATATTTTCATCACATTATGGCTGATTGTCTGATGCTTAAAGCTGCACTTTCTTGTATGATTTTGGGGGGAAAAAATAGCCAATCTTTATGTTTGTTTTAGTAGAAGAACTGAAATGGCTTACAACAACAAAAACAAGCACCCAGGCAGACACACACACACACACACACCCACACACACACACACACACACAGTCCAGCATATGGCTGAGCAGAACAGCCAGAGGGAGTGCAGCAGCTGGGCTCGTGGAGTGTCATCCTATCCTGTCTCTATTCCAGCCCATTTTGGACCCTCAGCACATTCCTCTGTGAAGCTGCCACCAATGAGTGAAATATAACCACAATACCATTCTGGCAATGCACTTTCATCACACACACATAATGCAGGAGCAAGACAATGTGTTCACTCCGCTCGTCTGTCAATGACACACACACACACTCCACACACCTTGAACCCCCCTTTACTACACCGCACTGGGGTGGATTTTTATCAGCGGTTCCTCTTGTAAAGCCGTTATCTCCTCTGGTGGAGGTTGTAAAAAAAGGGTCATAAAATACAGAGAGAGAGGATGTTTTTGAAGATGGACATGATCTAAATAAAGCATTATTACGTCTCTCTGACACAGACTCGAGCAAAAGTGAATGTTACAGGCTTTTGTATTGAATTGTATTATTAAGTAAGAAGTTAATAAACTGGACAATACTCACTGTACAATATGTTTTCATGGGAAATGAATAATGAAAACAAAACTACTGGTATAATGAAGATGACATCTCATTCATTAATTAAGTCTTGAGTCAGATGATTTATTATCTAACCATGAATCAATTTTACTTTTTTGATATATTAGGGCTGACACTAATTATGTTCTTTATGGATTACTCTGTGAATCATTTTCTCAATTAATCAATTAGTTGTTTGGTCCATAAAATGTTGATCAAAGCCCTCGGTGATGTCCTCCAGTGTCTTATTTTGTCCACAACCCACATCATAGAGGACTAAAGAAACCAGGAAATTTAGAGGTGAACTCAACTCAGCTACTAATCGTTGCAGCTCTAAGATATTGTGATAAGAGCTGAAACGATTAGTGTACACACAATAAACTGATGCAGTATTGGGTTCAGTTAACCTAACACTGCATTGGTGCTATATTGATATTAAAGGTTTAACCCAGTGTTTTTCAGTATGTAGAAATTGTTCAGCAGAACATTTATCAGCTATTATTTTGATAATAAATTAATAATTCTACAGTTTTTTAAAATATATTTTTCAGGGCTTATATTGCCTTTTTAATTGATAGTGACAGCTGAAGAGTGACAGGAAAGGGGGGAGAGAGAGGGGAAGACACACAGCAAAGGGCCATAGGTCAGAGTCAAATCCACGGCCACTGCAACGAGGACTCAGTCTTAGTACATGGGGCGCCAGCTCTATCACGTGAGCTATTTGGGCTCCACATTAATTGTTATTAATATATATATATAATTCTGTATGAAAAATTACTTGACGATCAAATATTTTTCTGTCAATAGACTAATTGATGAGTAAATTAACTGTTGCAGCTCTGTCACTTTTGTATTGATGGATCGATGGTTGGATAAAATTATTTATAGACAAAACAATTAATCGAGAAATTAATTGTTAGTTGCTGCCTTGAGGTCAGCCACTGACTTGTGTCTGCTCTGTAGTGTCACTAACCGCCTGCAGGGGTTGGTCTTGCTCTGAGCCATGACAGCAGCAGTGCAATCTCCTCCTTTGGCACTGACCTGAAGACACAATATTAGCCAAATCTTACAAACATATTTTTTATATTCTCCACTAACACGTGTATGTTTCAGCAAATAAGAAATTCAGATGGTGTTCATTAAACTAGTGAAAAAAGGGGTTGTGTATATTGGTATCGTTCTTAAATGCTGAATTACAGATGCTATTTATTATATTCATGGTTATTAACTGCTTGAACACAATCAAGGCAACAATCTACTTAAATGCTGTAACATTGCTGAGGTAGTGCTGCTCTTTGATGAGAGCTCCACTCTGCACCGTGCTGAACCTGGTACTGAGGCTTCAGCTCAACGTGAGTCTTTGAGGAATTCCTATTGTGCTTAGTTCACATAACCACGGCTTTCCCTGTGATTGGACTGATCTGATCTTAGAGGGCTTAAAGGGGCTGGTTGAAAACATCTGATTCCTCCACATTAGCAGCGAGGCACAGTCTGGTGAGTATCATCTTTTTACAGCTTTTGTTGACATATTGTACTTAATCAAATGTTAAGTTAAATATTAACTTAAGACATTACAAATTTTACTGTTTCAGATTTTGTATTTTACTTTTGTTAATATGTGGAATTTCTGCACGTTGTTAATCCAGTCAAGTTGTGTCAAGTGTCAAGCGGTCACATGAAACTGTGCATTCCTGTTTTCTGAACAATAATTATGAAGTCTCTAGAAAATCTTTGTGTTTGGTGTTCTTAAGAAGACAAACATGTTGATAATTTAGTACCACGATTAGATAAAGAAATTAACAAAGCATGCATGAGTGCACCTGTTTCTTATGCACAAAGATGTGAATATAAAGTGAGCTGGCTAATGAGGTAAAAACATCTTAATCCCCTGAAGCAGGAGCATATCTGAACGGTAATCTTTGTACATGTTCTCTCTGTAGGTGGCCTGTGGAACGAGTTTAAGGTCATGGTGAATGTGACTACGGTCATGAAGGCAGTGAGTCTGCTTGTTGCAGAACTCATCAGCTACATCACCGACTGGTTCCAGACCAAACCAGCATGGGCCAACCTAGAAGTGCTGGAGGACACAGAACTGAAGACCACTGGAGGCGGTGAGTCAGATACAAGAAGAATCTATAAACCTGCAGACATGCTGCACTTTTTAGAAGGAAATTCATTGTCTTTATAATTAAAACTAATTAACAGTTTGGACAGAGGTCAAAATTTTTACTTTTGGTGTCTGAGATTACGTATGACAGCCCACAGATTAATCCACAAACTCTTATTATTACAGATATTTAATGACTCTTTCATCTGAACATAATGACTTACTATTTAAGAAGAAGAGTGAGCGACATTTTGGTTAAATAATGCTCCTCTGTCTCTTTCAGTCCATGAGCAACACAAGGCCAAATCTCTATGGGAGAAGACTGGAGCAGTGGTCATGGTTGTACGGCGACCTGGATGATTATTGTGCAGAGAGGTATGAAATGACAGTGACAGTGCATATCAATAAACAAGAATTATCCAGAAGGCTAGTTTCCATCCATAGTCCTCTAAGTTAGTATTGAGATCTGCGCAGTCATGTGACTAGTTAACTTTCTATTTGATTCTCTCTGTCCTTCCCTCTCCAGGAGGCTGCTGAGCTGTCCTCTCTGAAGTCCCAGCTGCAGGACCTTGATGTCCCTCTGTTCGCTGTGGTAAAAGAAAATCTGGGAAAAGAGCTGGACTACTTCAAGAAGTACTTCGCTGGGAAGGTCTACGTGGATCAGAAGGTCCGCTTTTGCAAAACCCTCTCCTACACATGGCTTTAAGATATTAAGTGAAACATGGAAAGGTTACATCATTTAAGACAATAAGCCTATTTTACATTGCTCTTATAGAGGAAGTTCTACGGCCCTCGAGAGAGAAAGATGTGTTTCTCCATGTTCCTGCGTATTGGCGTATGGAGGAACCTCTGGCGGGCCTACCGCAGGGGCTTCAGTGGAAACCTAGGAGGTGAAGGACTTATCCTGGGTGGAGTCTTCGTCATTGGGCCTGGAGATCAGGTAGGCAGTAATTTACACAATGAATATTTACTAAGTGTATATCTGGTTGGGTTATGATTGTGTTTTTTTCCCACAGGGTATTCTACTGGAGCACCGCGAGAAGGAGTTTGGGGATAAAGTGAATACTCTGGCAGTGCTCAGAACAGCCCGCAAAATGCAAGACGCCGTAGCAAAATAGACCTCAAAATGTGAATGAATGGACCTATCAATGGGTGCAGCATGTTTTCACGTGCATGTCTGTATTCTTTAAGCCTAACCCAGGAGTTTTTCTCTACACCACTCCAACAAGCTGTAATGTACTCATATTACATTTGCTCTATTTTATAAATCCAATGCATTCACCCTTTGCTATTATGTTGTGCAGTGACACAACTTCGTGGTTTAAAATGTGCCACTTTAACTGTTTATTAACCCGCATTGTCTGCATTTTCTGCTCTTGGTTATGTGATGGTCTTTTTGTGTGTTTTAATGAAGACCTGTCTCTAAACTCTGCTGAGGGAACAGCTCTGATGCTCGCACACAAATCTCAACACCTTTAACCAGGTGGTCTTGGTCTGACATGAGGGGGTATTTGACTGTTGGAGTGATGCAGCACATTTTGTGTTTGGCATCTAATAAACCAATAAACCCAGTCGTGGTTAAAGAAAGATTATCTGCTTATTCACGTGTCCATGTATCTGTGTTTTGCCTCGCCTTGGGCCTTCACATACATCCATGTCAATCTTCCTCGCCCGTCATCTTTTTCGATTAGTTGTCCCTGCTCGCCTGGATCGTTTAATACGCCTGCGCCGATCTGTTTACAAAACCGCTTCATCAGAGAGGCGCTGCTTGTCGCCTCATTGATTCTGGTGAGTGTGCATTTATTACAAAACTCCCCCATTCACTTCAAATCACAGATACAGCTTCTAAACAGGTGTCACTTATGCAGCAAGCCCTGCCAGTCCAGACTCAAGCGACCTAATCGATAGCCGAGCGAACGTTAACTGCTAATCTATCGACCGTTTGTCTCCAACGTTACGCGCCTAGCAACAGTAACTTTGTTGGGAACTTAAAATAAGCAGTTGTTACGTAATTATCACTCTTAGCAACACCAGAAATGGTAAAATATCCGAGTCCCACTCGTTTACAATGTTGTTTTTAGCTGGTAGATGATTGATTACACATTGACAGTAACAAGGTCATCACCTGCTCATAGCTGTGGTTGTGACCTCCATAGATATACACAATAAAGGCCTATATTATGTATATCTATGGTGACCTCACCCTAACATAAAGTGGAAGAAGTGTTCAGCTCACATGTCACAACTAATAACATCATGCGTTCAAAATTACTATTACTGTGATTTTAAAAAGAAAAAATGTATTTATGAATTTGTATTACAAATGATTAAGGCAGAACAAACAAGACATAGGATATCACACAGCTGCTGCTAAGCTAATGATGAACTCAATGACACATTAATGACAGGTACAGATCCAGTTGGGTGTGTTGGACACTATTTATTAAAGTTGCAGCTTTGTTCAGCTAAGAACTGGATCAGGGTTGATGCTGTGTTAAAGTGTTTTAAGTCCCCTATACTTTTTTATTACAAAGTGGGGATTTATTAATTGGTAAACATCGTTTACTTGAGTATTTTATCTAAATTATCTAAAGTAAATTAAAGCGCATCATGCAGAATGTCTCTCTTCAGATTGTAATATTGTCAAGATACAATTTATGCCAAATCATATTATATTTTATGTCAACATATGTTTGTATGAAAAGTATTCAAAGTAATTGTCAACCATAGCTGACAAATAAAATGTAGTGGAGTGAAAATATATATGTATAATATGTAGTAAAGTAGCAGCAAATGGAAATAGTCAAGTAAAGTACCCTTAAATGTGGACGGTGGACGGTGGAGGAAGTAATCACATCATTTACTTAAATAAAATTAGCAATAACACCATGAGAAAATACTCCATTATAAGTTTAGACTCTGCATCTTCAGAGTTTTTCCGAAGTAAAGTAAGTATCTGATTGAGATGGAGCTCATTTTACTACAAAATATACTGTTTGTTAATTCAATTTATAAAACATTAGCTGATAAAAAAATCTGACTAACTCTAACTGTTATAATGTAGAAAGTACAGCCGTAAGTAGAGGTTCTTAGTTAATTCTAGTATCATCCAGGCATCTCCTTAATATTATAAACAAATATTTATTAGACGTGTGGTTTACAAAGTATTGGGCAACCCTAACTACAGCTAATGTTGACAGCTCTTTTCATTACTTGCTCTGCATTCACATTCAAGGAATCTAGACTCTTCCTTGTGTTGTAGGCGTGGGCGTCTGTGTCTATTGGCTGCTGCTGGTGTCGTTTTTTTCAGCACTTTGTTCTCCCCAGTTATAAAGTGCCAGATCACAAATGCACTTGGGTTATTTACTGTTTGACACTGGATGAGCTAAAACCCAGGAGAAAAAGTATTGCTTCACATTTTGGAAACGGACAAAAGTTAGTATAAGACATTCTTACTTTTCAACCGGTTATAGACATAAGATAACACATAAGTCATTTTGTTTTCTTGTGTAGTGCCTTACAGATCATATTGACTTGTGCATGATGTTTTCTGTGCAGCATATCGTAAACTGTATTGCGTTTTTTAGAGTCATTTATGTGTTGACGTGTTTACCACACAAGAGAGCTCAAAGTGCAAGAATAGGAAGTTTGTGTGCAAATGGCGAGCTGTCACACTCCAGTAAGATGATCAAGATAAGAACCGCATTTTACACTTTATTATTTTTTTTTCATTTTGATATTACACACTCCGCAGGGGAAAGTATATTCATATTGTAAGCATAAAGAAAACCTGGCTAACTGGTTTAACAGTAAGTATAACGTTTTACCTTGGTAGTCTAGACATGCAGAGAGATGCCAAGGTTTTGTTTTTTTCTGTAAAATCAAATACTGGCTCATTAAAAAAAGGGCTTGCAGTACCGGTGGATTTTATTGTCTTTGAAAAGGTTAGTCAGTATTGTTATATTATATTAGTTTTTATCTTTATTTAGTTAGTTTCCAGTGTGGATTTGATCATTTTAGTTTAGTTTTTATTTAGTTTTTATTAGTTTCAGTGTTAGTTATTTTTTTAATGATTATTTGGGAGATATTTATCGGCGGCAAGACTGAAGTTCAAAACAGGTATTACAATACAAACAATGACTCACAGTCGTGTAAACGCCTTCTCATGCTTGTTGTGTTAAAACAAACTGACAAAGACTAAAACTTTGAACAAAAAATTCTGTATATTTTTATTTTATTTGAGTATAGTTTTGTAAATGCACAATATTTAATTCAGTTTTTTTTTTTTTTTTTCAGAAGTATAGTCTCTATTTATCTAACTATAAACCACTTGTGCCATAGTGGTTTAACTTTCAAAGAAAAGGCTTGTGTTTCTTTCTTTGTTTGTAGTCAGAAGGTCAGACTTTTTCTGCGGCCCGATGCTGGCTCTGTCCAGGTCTTCGACAGCTTTGAGGTGGAGGCTGTCCCTGCGCTGCTCTGCCCTCCCTCTGGGGAGCACTACCGTGAGCAGCGAGCCCTCCACCGCAACCTGGCCGCAGTTTCTAAGAACCCAGACTGCTCTGTTTCACCAAAGTAAAGCCAAAGCCAGTCCCGACCCAAACAAGCCCGCTTCAGGCAAGGACATATTTGATTGCCTACGCAGTTAACTGCTCTCCACCGTAAGAGAGCGTGTAGTAGAAACAGTGTTACAGTCGTGACTCGTGCACAGCTTTTCCCCCCGTTGCTGCAATGACTCTAGACCTTCATGACAATGAATGTGTTATGAAATGTAATGGCAATGTTTAAGAACCTACACCTTTTGACCTGGTCATTGTAAACTCATGCACAGCCAGTTCAAGACGGTATTATATGCATGTAACCTTTAGCCCTGTTTCTAACTGCACTCTATGTCCAAGGAAATGAGATGTTTAGACTTCACTGAGCAGCTAAGGACATGATAAGACCTATCGTAGCGCCACGCTATCTGTTTACTGCCCGAGAACTCAGGAATGTGTAACTTCGACTCGTCGCTCTTCCGAGTCCATTCATGGATGACTTGAATAAACTACAGAAAGACAAGATCACACTTTGTATGCTTCATTTAAAGAAATAGCTACGAGAGAAAGTAGACAAAATCAATAAGCCATTTAATAATAATGGTTTTATCTTAAAGCACTGCTCATAGATATAAATACATCACACTGGAGCTGAAACAGTAGAAGTAGAATTACAGTAAATTGTCTGGCAACTATTTTTGATAAGGTCTTTTTATATTAAATATCTTTGGAGTAATTGTTGGCCAAAAAATGCATTTGAAGACCTTGGGCTCACAAAAAAGGTTTCCAGAATGACACACAGCTACTTTCAAAAATAACAAATTATGGTTATCCTGAATAGCATCTCACCTCCTTATTAAGTATTTAAGATATGTAATCTCACAGATGAGGTTTAGATTAGAGTAAGAGACTAGGCTGGTTAAAAGAAAAAAGACCCTATCACAATGATTCTGATACAGCACCACAAACACGAAAACTTCAAGCTGTGTCTTGTTTGTCTTGCAGCCTAAGGGAGATTTAAGGTCTCCTTATGTAAGCGGTAGCAATGAAAGAAAAAAAATGATTTGCAGTGAGAAGTGCAAATATGAACTAATCTGCACATCTAGCAAAGTCAAAGAAAACTGCCAAAACCGTATTGTCAAAGTAAAGAATGTTTCTTCTGCATTAGGACTGTGTCAGACTTATTTCTCTCCCCATGTTGTTGCCTTTTTGTGCCGCAGTGTTGTCCGGGCTGGAGGGGGAACTGTTTGGGATGGGGATGTGGTCGTTGGGTCTGGGCGCTGTCGGAGCTGCGCTAGCCGGGATCTTCCTGGCCAACACTGATCTGTGTCTGCAGAAAACTGCCAACGCAACGCTGGAGCACCTCGAAGATACTGACCTGCGCTCCACCATTGACAGTAGGCAGGCTTTCTGATTGGCTGTTCAATAATGTCACCCAGCAACAAGCCCGTTTGTCTTAACGCCAGCTGTTGTTAAACCCCATTAGGAGGTTTAACATTAATCAGCACAAGAATTGGCTTCTCTTTACTGTTTGTATGCATTGTACATGCACTGAAATATGTTTTGTGTGGCTTTTAAGGCAAAGCTGCTTTCTCAAATCTGCTGGTATTACAGATCACTGTAAAGGTCTTTGCCCTGAGCTGAAGGCTGTGTTACTGTGTTATTCTTAAGCATATAGAACTTCAGTGTGACCATGAACATTTTGAAGGCTGCATCTTTTATCCTCCACACTATGGCTTTATTGAATTTTTGCAGCAGTAAAATCCTTGTGAGTTCTTTTCATCAGAGATCTTGGAGCCTTGTTTTAAAAACCGCCGCTTCTTGCTTTGTCTGCAGATGACAAGGTCGTCAAAGCAAACAGCCTGTGGGAGATGAACGGGGCTGTGGTCATGGCCGTACGACGACCTGGATGATTTTTGTGCAGAGAGGTGACGAAGAGGGTGTTATACACGACTCTGCATGCATCTGAAATTGAAACCGTGTGGGAAATAGTTTTCCTGATGGTGTAATCTCTCTCTCTCTCTCTCTCTGTAGGAGGCCTCTGAGCTGTCCTCTCTGAAGCCCCAGCTGGAAGAGCTTGGGGTCCCTCTGGTCGCTGTGGTGAAGGAGAACGTCGGCACAGAGATCCAGGACTTCAGACCGCACTTCGCTGGGGACGTCTACATAGACGAACAGGTTAGCAGTGGTAGATAACATCACTCTCTCCAGATCTCACCCGCATGTTTCATGTTCTCTCACTCTTTCTCTCCAGATCTCTGGATTAGGGTGTTCTTATATAGTTTGTTTGAGCTTGTAAATATTTAAATAGTTAATTTGATCTTCTCCCTCCCTTTTTAGATTCATTTTAACACTTTTACTTCAAATACACAACGTCCCTGTAGTGAGTTGGTCATTATTTGGCTAAATAATGTGTGTATAATGTCAATTTTGTATTCAATTGGTAAAATAAATCCATCGTATTACAGAAAATCACGTGAAATTAAATGTGTGATTGTAGAAACGCTTCTACGGCCCGCTGCAGAGGAAGATGGGGGGTCTGGGGTTCATTCGCCTCGGAGTGTGGCAGAACTTCTTGCGGGCCTGGAGGTCCGGTTACCAGGGCAACATGAACGGCGAGGGCTTCATCCTGGGGGGAGTGTTTGTCATCGGGCCGGGAGACCAGGTAGCAAGGCAAACGTTCTGACTTTGTAAAAGTTTTTACAAAACATCTGTCTGTATTTTAACCACACGTTGTGTTTGCAGGGGATTCTCCTGGAACACCGCGAGAAGGAGTTCGGCGATAAAGTGGACACTGCAGATGTTTTAGAGGCCGTTAAGAAAATTGTACCAGTGAAATAAGTTTTTTTTTTTTTTTTTTTGTCCTAACATCAATGGCAAAAGGTAAAGGCATTTAGATCAAAACTAGAATTAAGAAAAAAAATGCAACTTGACACTGGAGTCAAAGTCCATCCATCACTGAAATACTTATATTGTAATGACACTTGAGTCTGTTTGCGTTGTATAATATCACACTATTGCACATTCATTTACTGTTGGTTACGAAATTCTTGATGTGAAATACAGGACTTATGAATGACTACTCCTCTTTACCTCTAAAGAAATTCAGAAGCTTTTTTGTGTTTAGACGGGTATTAAAAATAGGTAGAAAGGGACATTAACGGCAGCATTTCCATTCAGGTACGTTAACCATTAAATTTAAGATCACTTGAAGTCTTCCCTTTAGAGAGGAACATAATTGAACCTGCTGAATTACACCTTTTATTAATTATTACTCTGTCAGTGGTACGTTTTTAATAACGTTATCTCCGTCTGCTTCTCCTGGTCAGGCACCTAAACGGGCCTTCAACGTGGCAGACGAGTGTGTGTGTGAGGTCTGTGTGTGTGTGATAATGACAACTTGACTCTAAACTCAACACTGAGGGGAGCAGGTTCGATGCTCAAACACATAACAGATTCAGCCGCTGTCGCCATGTTGAGGAGAGTTTTTGGTGCCTGAAGCAAGGCGTTGCTTGCATGTGTG